TAAATATTTAAAATTTTAATAAATAATTTTCAGTCATTATTTAAATTGTTGTGTAAATTTTGAAGTTTGGTTAGTGGGTGAGCTTATTATTACCTAGTCTAACCTAAAGGGAACAAACGCCGCTGTCGTGGGACACTTATACACTAAGTAGGTACATACACATATCTACAAATAATATCGTAATCAAATTTTGGAAACTACACGGGTATTTTTACCATTATTTAGTCTCATAAGTCATATTATGGTATTATACAACAAGTCAAGTCTTCATACTTGGTTTTTGGATATTTGTTATAATGTTGTATAGGCCACCATATAAGATCGTAATGAATTTCAATTATTTTAATGAATCAGCAATGTCGTTTTTTTTTTTTTTTTTTTGTTCCTATTAAAATAATATCGGTATTGATGAAAGAAATGTATTTACAGCTCTGTACGTTTGTGTTTCAACAATTCTGTACCATAAAAATGTTCATTCGAAAATCTATTTCATTTCTGTTTTGTACCAGTCAAGTTTAGTAAAGAATAAGAAAAACAGAAGTTTTTTTCTTGTACAGGAATTAAGACGGAAATTTCAGAGAAAATGTTTCAAAGCAATTTAAATAATAGGAATGCCAATGCCAAAAATGTTGCTTTAGACGGACGGTGTTATTTCAGTGAAATGAAAAAGTTTTTTTTTTCTGTGACGTTAGATATTTTGTACTCGCCAAAACCCTGTAATTATTATAAGTATATTGAATATTACATTTCAATTTACTCTTTTATATTATTTTAAAATACAGCCACAGTGTCCAGATATATATTATAATGAGCTACAGGTTGGTATTTAATATAAAGGATTACAATTGTTTTTCAACCTTGAAAAATTAAATAAGTCAATAGCAGAACTCAAGTGTAATATTATTATTTTAAAAATACTATATTTTGATCCGGTTGGAAAAATCTCGCAAATTTTAAGCCAATAGTGCCAGTGTAAAACATTATTTCGATTAAATTGTACGAAAATTAACTACATTCATCATTATATCAATAAAGGATGCAAGGGCAGTTCATTTTTAATTAAATTTGTTTTTATTTACAATCGATTAATCATGTTTAAAGTAGCAGCAGCAGCAGTAAATTGTTGAAAAAAAAAAGTTTTCCTATAGAAAAAATGAAACTATGTCAAAATGTTTGAGATAAATACATAACAAAAAGTGTGATCGTATTTAATATTTATACAAGTGCAGTATGCGTGTCATATAGCATAGAAAATATAGGTATCTACACAATATTGTATTAATAAATGTATAGAAAAAAACGTTGTTCATATAGAAGAACAAAGTCGACTGAAACTATTTATAATTTTAATTAAAAGAAAAAAGATATTAAATAATAACCAACTGTGAAAATAGTCTCAATATTTCTAATGGACTATTATGTACGATTCATTCTAGTATCTTTGTATTTAAAACAATGATGATATTATATACGAGTAAGTATTAAAATATCATTCAAAAAAGAGGATTTACTCAATAAACTCTATATATTTTTAATTAAAAAATATTTGATGTAGTTTCAGTTTTACGTTTGATCATTTTACGGTATTTTGGTAACTACCACATTTTCACTATACAAAATCAGTGGCTCGAAATGTCCGAAATATGTGTAAAATAGAAACGATAAAAAATATAGAAAATATTAATTATTTTCCAAAAATGTTGCTTCGTAACGATTTAAAACTATGTAAATATGATAAATATTTTCAAAAGTGCAGGTAGTGTATTTTGAAAGAGTGAGTGTCTCACGTTAAATGGATCACCCCCCCCCCCCCTGTATAGGTTTGTTTTGGGATGAAACGAAATATATGTTTTTTGGTATACATTACAATGCAATTTCAAACAATATTCAAGTATATATGTATATCATTGTCAAAAACTTTGAAGGAAACATGAATTCCAAAGAAATAGGAACGAGGTGCATAACGCTACATTAGCGTTGTATAACACCGTTCTCGTTGTTTGTATCATCCGAACTCGAAATGTAGTGATCCATCAAAATTATAAATGGCAAAATAACAACACTATAATAATATTATGTCGTGTCGCATTATAATGTCTCTACACGACGCTATGGTTTTTCCGTGGTTTCTTCAATGCAAATAATCAATGTTCACATAAAATTAAATTATTTACAACACAAACCTGTCTTTAAACTACCTATCGTCGAAGATGCACACTGCACCTGCTCGTGCTTGCACCCATCTATTATGTGCATGGTTCGGACTTATCTAGATAATTATTTGTTCATTATTTTATCTTATCTAGATAAATAGTTACAAGATATCTAAACGTTCATCTTAGATAATTTTTTTACTAATCTAAATAAGTGCATCTAGATGCATCTAGATGCATTTTTTATTCATAAAAATCGCGAAATTGTACAAACACATTTTTAAATATTTGTACAGATTCTCAAACAAAGTTTATGGTTTATAAATAATGTAATTATTTTTATTTTTATTATTATTATGTTTCTAGTGCCCAACTAAAATATACCTAAATTTAAAACCATTTAAAAAATAATTGTATCTTTTTTTTTATCTATATAAAAAACTATTTATCTTTATCTTTATCTAGATAAATATGAGTTAAGTTATCTTTTATATCTATCTAGATACATTTGAGTTGCGTTATCTTTACCTTTATATAGATGAAAAAAATACTTATCTAATCCGAACACTGATCATGTGTACATGTATGCATATTGCGTATATATTATAGTATTGTGGCCGGTGGAACGATAAATGCACAAAAAATGCACATTTCAAATGTTATTTTCAACGAAATAGTTTACATGTCGAAATCACATACAACTGTGGCTAATTTTTTTGGTTATTGTTCAAAATTGTGTAATATTTATTATCAGTCCCACCATGTCCAGTGACATTGGTGTCATATTATAATTAATATTATCATTATCAGTGCACCCGAAATTCCTGCCATGTATAATAGGTAGGTAGATAGGTCGAAGGTATTATAGTTGTAGGTTATATATTACGTTATTAATTATTGCTGTCTACGTCGTACCTAGTGTGACCACTGTTATTTTCCTGTCTAAAAATTGGGACACTTCTTAAAATGTTTAAAAACTACCGATAGATACTTACTGAATTTTAAAACCATTTTTTTATAATATGGAATGGATGATGTAGGTACAACCATTTTGTGTATTGTGGTGTTTATAATCACCAAAAAATAAAAGTCATAAGTGTATGAAATGTAATTTTAGAAAAACTCAACACCTTAGTTATACCTGTGATTATGAGGATATATAAACTACCTACGGCTTCTAATATAACATCTAAATACATTATTTAATACACTCGGTTTCAAAACTGTATAGGAACTAAAATAATTTAAATATGAAATACAGTTTTTCATCTGTTGACAATTCCCGGTCTTTACTACTTAATTACTTCTTTAGAAGTTATAGGAACAATGACAATACCGTGTTTACTATCATCGTGTGGATTTTTTTTTTACATAATAGGTACCAAATAATCATTATTGCAACAATAGAATATAATATACATAATTTCACAAAAAATGAGTTTAATATTGCAGCACCTCCTATAAGCGAAGCTAGTGCTGGGGGCACAGTTATTATTATTTAAACCCAATGGATAAATATTGAATATTAATTAACTAATTTAAAAAAACAAAATAAACAAATTTAAAATAAGAGTTAACATAACTAACAATATAAGAAAAAAAATTAATATTATATAAATAACATTAAAATTACAGACTAGTTAAATCTAAATTCTTTAATATTTTTTAAATAGCATTCCATCTTTAAAGTAATTTATATTAATATTCAGCGAACGACATAATGTCAAACCCGTATATAACACACTTTGTTGACCAAATACTTTGTTAAGGTTTGATAAAAGTATACTAATATTTTGTTTACTTCTGCTGAACTTAGCTTAACAAGTGGTTGTGAGATTGCACCATCAGATATTGTCTATTTATCTTGTATAATATTATAATGGTACTATTAAACGTAATTATACTATAATATGAAGTACCTATAGGTGTAGTAAATTGCTTTAATAGTAGTTGCACAAGTAGTTGCGTTTACAACATTTGGATTGTAATTTTATAAAAATACACTGTGCAAGAGGAAAGATGGCCTGCAAAGGTCTATCAGCACCATTACGACACGTACAAAAGGTATAGTAACTTGTACACGTCTTGAACCCAGTATACATACAATTTTTGTATTTTCGCCATCTATATATTATACACCTGATAACGATGAACGAAATATTTTTTAAATATTACTGAATACGAGGTACAATATCATATTTTTAAGGTCTTTCTAAAAACCGTTATTTCACAAAATAAAAAAAGAAAGGCCTTGGAGGAATCCGACTCCCTGCACATCACCCCTAGTATATGCCCATGTGTAATAATATTATGTTTAGGTAGGCAGTTGAGTCATCGGGTGACGCCTCCAGTAAAATATTATATTGTTGTGGCTCGTATCGAATTACGAACGAGCGTCGAACACAAAATATAAAAAATGGCCCTTCCGCATACGTACGACATATTATTTTGATGTCGACGGTAATAATAACAATAATAATAATAATATGACGCGTAGTATTAATATTGTTAAAGCGGCAGTGCCGGCGATCGCGTAAATGACTCGAGTTATAATATTATTACATATTATTATTATTATTATTACTTTACGACGTGTTTTGATCGAGTAAAACTGAAAAATACAATATTGTATGTATAATACACGTCCTACCGCGCACGTTCGACCGGGGCCATAATAGTATTATCGCCGAGCGCGATATTATTATTATTATTATCATCGCTATTGTCAGTCGTCTCTGTCTTTCAACATCACCGTCGCAGAACAGTGTCTCGCCGTCTATCGTACAACAATAATTATAATATTATTTACATCGGTCGTCTGTCGTCTACAATATTATATCAATCGTCATGCGGCCGTCCCGTTGGTTTTTCGCGCTCGTCGCTCCGGTGGTGTTCGTATTATTTTCGACCACCTCAGCCACGGGCATCCGACCCCCGGCACTGGACAGGCCCGCCCAGAGGGACGTGATGCGGCACCTGCGGGGAGGTGCTCCACCGGGCCCGGTCGTCAGGCTCGGCGAGAGGAACGACGCGGCCGTCAAGACGTACCTGACCAGATTGCGGGACAGGTACTCGAGCGTGCTGGACAGGCCCTGGGACAGCAAGTACGCCAACCACAGGAACGTCAAACAGTGGTCGCGATGATGATAATATGAGTAATAATATTTTTGTGTAATTTATCCGTAAGGCAGTGCTCGACTCGCGGGAGGCGGGGAGGGATCGCAGGGGGGGGAGTGCTCCAACTAATTTTTAGACACTTCAACGTACCCCTTACTATTATGACTAAATTAAATTACCTTTATTAACCTTTCGAGCTTGTTATCGTTTATAACTATAATATGTTTAGTGATACATATTAGTAATCATCGATGTCTTATCATATTAACTTTAATTTTAATTGATCATTTATAAATATTTGTTATATGATTTAAAGAAGGGTATTGTGGGGTGTTGGTAAGTAAGCCAAATCTCCTTACTTTAATTTTTCCAAGTCAAGCACTGTTTGTAACACGTATAACAGAGCAACAATACGAATGACGTAGACGAAATGAATTCTATATTATGCTAATACATTGAATGATGGGTAATTTATATTTTTAATTTTATATTATGTGCCTTATGCAGTTCAGATGTCCCCCTGCGAGCATTTCGTGATTTCAGCGTCACACATCGACCAGCAGCAACCGAAACGAGAAACCGACCAGGAAACTTATCCACGAAAAACGATAGTTATTTTTATAATTATGATGACGTATAATAAATTATATGTATTTTATAGGTATTAGTTTTTATTTTTGTTTTTTTTTTTTTTTTTGTAACTAAAACAATATTGTCGGCCGTTGAAAAAACATGTCAAATTGAATAATGTTTAGCAAAAATTTAATTTTTTCACTGTCACTTTGTACATATTATGCAATGAAAAGTTTTAGTAACCTCTGGTCTATTAAATGTAGGTAAATAAAACGTTTTGTAATATTTTGATGTGCGCTAATGCTTGCTAACTAAAACTTATTATTTCGACTAAACTATACATCATAGTTACATATTGTTATTATATTATGGATAATAACATGTAAAATAAACGTTTCTTTGCTTGTTTTCTTATCAAACCCTTTCTTTCTTTTGGAGTATTTTAACATCCTGCAGCATACTTGGCAGGGAACTACATCAAGAGAATCAACCGAGATAACAATAATGTCGGTAATGTCGTCTAGATCAGTGTTTCTCAATATGGGGGTCGCCGACTTATTATTTAGGGTCGCGGCTGAATTAAAATTTAACGTTTAATACGTTTTTATAATTCAAAATTATTATATTATTATATGCATTTTATGTTGTGTACAATGTACACAACTTTTACTATTGATTATTAATAAAAATCTATATCCTATGCGAGTATACAAAAAACATATATGTAGGGGGGAGGGTCGCTAAAAAATTTAAATTCAAAAAGGGGGTCGTCACAGTAAAAAGGTTGAGAAAAACTGGTCTACATAATAATAATATAGTATTATAATAATATATGACATTATGTAGGACGCACTTGCATTGTTCGCGGTTTATTAGATTATAGGTACGTAATAATTGTTATTGGTACCTAGTTTGTTTTTTTATGACGTACACCATTCCCGTGAATATATATCGATGTGTAAAATAAACTTTCAGTTTGTTTATGTTGTGACTTTTCACGATTCAGTTGAATAACTGTATAATAATATTATATAAATACATATTATTATAATATGCTAATGTAAGCGTATTATGTGTCATAATGTGTACAGTGTACATGGCATACATCAATATTTTTTTGTGTTTTAAAAAATAAGTAAACAAAACGCTGCACATTTATAAATAGCAAATGTATACGTTAATAATAATAATAAAAAAAGAACAATGCACTATCCGGTAGTGTACTAGTGGTCATTTGAATTCATGGTTTGTCGTTCTAGTAAAATTGAACACGAAAACAGTTTTCGATTAAAAAACAATTATTATTATAATTGTTAGCAACAATGACAGCACCGAATCAATTTGTTATATGCTATAATATTGCGTTGTACGTTGTTGTAACATTTTGTCCATATTTCTTGCTAACGAACAGGTTTTCATACCATTAATGTTTTAATTTAATGATGATGGTTCGAATCGACTGATTTATAATTATTACGTAGGCTGTCTAAAAGTGTTGACTTGAATCCGTGAAGTTTTGTTCCATTCTAAACATGTTTTTCTTCGTTGTACTTGTATATTTTTTTGCAGAACACCTCACCTATATATAGGCCACTTTCGGTGAGATTTTCAGAACCACTGTTTATTAGACGGTTAAAAGTAAATAGAAATTATTCTCTCGCATCAGACTGGAGGATGTAAGGTTTTTTCTTTCGGGTGCGATATTAACAATTTTATAATATATTATTTTGAATCAGCGTGATTAATACGCATCATATAAACCGATTCCAGTGATTAATAAATCCTGGTGCTGTTACATTTTAAACGTACATTTTAGATTCTGAGTGAAACGATGAATGTATTGATTTTACAATGATGTGTGTTTTTTTTTTTATTTTTTTTTTTATTTTATTTTTTTTTTTTTTTTTTTTTTTTTTTAATTTTTTAATTTTTTTTTTTATTTTTGTGTCTGTCATCACGTTTTAGGACAGTAAAAGTGCTTGGATTTTCTTCATCAGTAGCTTTTCTGATAGGAAAGTGAATCTAGTTGGTACTTTGGGGGGTCAAAAGTATAAATTTCCCAGTAGTTTTCACAAGCGCCGGGAAAAACAACATAAAAATTAAGGAAAAACGGGAATTTTTACTCAAAATTGGTTTTCCAAAAAATCGATTTTGGTTTTTGGTGTAACTCTAAAACAAATGAACGTATATACATGAAATTTTCACTGGTTGTTTATATTTGCATTTTCTATACACGATAACATTTTCAAAATATTTTGATTTATTTTGAACTGTTTAGGGACATTTTCATTTTTCATTTTTTTTTAGTTTTTTTTCTAGAAATATCAATAAAATTTTATTTGTTGGTTGCGAAAGCTTGAAAATTTAATAGAAGGCTCCTAATATGTTGTTTCAAAGGCAGATGAAAAATATTAAAAATCCTTAGTCACAATTTTTTTTTATAAGCACTTAAAGTTCAAAAATTGACAAAATATGGAAAAATCACGAAAATTAGCAAATTATTTTGAATTAAGAATTCGTAAAAATTTTTCTTTTTAAATCTAAGATTTGAAAATTTAACACAATATTCCTTATAAGATTATCTACCTTTATCAAAAAAAAAAATGTCTATAAGAAAGTCAAATTAAATTTTTATGAGCGTTTGAAATTCAAATTTTTACAACATTGAATATTCACTCGATTTCCCATGTAGCGATTTCCTTAGTTTGTTGTAATTCAAAAACAAATAACTGTAGATACATGAAAATTTCACTGAATGTTTAAATTAGCATTTTCTATACACCATACAATTTTGAAAATATTTTGACTCTTTTTGAGCTGTTTATGGACATTTACAGCTTTCAATTTTTTTTAGTTTTTTTTTCTATAAATATCAATAAAGTTTTATCTGTTGGGCCAAAAAGTGTAAAAATTTAATACAAGGCTCCTGATATACTGTTACAATAGCAGTTGAAAAATATTAAAAATACATAGGCACAGTTTTTTTTTATAAGCATTTAAAGATCAAATTTTGACAAAATTTATCAAAATCTCGAAAATTATCAATCATTGAAATTAATAAATTATAAAATGTTCAGTTTTTATAGCTAAGGATTGCAAATTTAAAACAAAGGTTCTCATAAATAGTTCATACTGTAACCAAAAAATCTAAAAAATATATGAACACAGTTATTTTTTACAGACATTTTAAATTCAAATTTGGACGAAATTACATATTAAAAAACCTAGAATAACTATTTTAGTTATTTTGTTGTGATTGAATAATATTATTCGTGGGTACTTGAAACTTCTAAAGTGTACTATTATATATCTATGATAGTATCACGGTTTTGTTGATGTATAACGCGTTATAAGTACCTAATGGACATTGTGATATGATTAATTTGGAATTTATTATAGGTACCTATTAATTATTATAGGTCAATTTTTTGTTTAATACCATAGATATGTATATAATATGTCTTAAACATAGACTGACATACCGTCTCCGCTCAGAATCGTTTTTCTTATACAATGATATTATATCGTTGAATTCAAATTTAATATCATCCATTATACAGTGACCCACTTGTAACCTACTGTACAGCAGAGCGACACCCACTTGCCCACCTTTTTAGTTACGTTTTTAAATTACAGAATAATGCAGTAGTTCATGACATAAATTCTACTAAATGTAAAATGATTAATGTTTCGAAGATGAATTACAATAGTCATAAAATATTGTGAAATATGATAGCCCAAAAATCCCAAATATTATATGATATTATTTCAATATTTAATAATAATTTGTACATTCTTCGGTGTTTTTTTTTATATAACTGAGCAGAGTAGAAAACGTCAATATTTGAAAAGCAATTTCTTTGAACAGTTTGTGCAATTCAGTTAAACGAATAGAAAATTACATTTTGTTTACTCACTAACATTTTTAAAACAATTTAACTTCATTTTAAATGTTTCTATTTTAAAAACCTCTGTCAATCGTTTGTTTCGTAATAAAAACTTTTCTTTCAGACAACATCATATTGTGTTTATCTTTCCCACATATTATATTTTATATTTGTGCAAGAAATATAGGTACCTAACTCTACGTTTTTTTATTTATTCTTATAAGTATGCTTAACACATCCGATATAGTGAAACCTACTATACAGCAGAGCGAGTTTTGTCTGTTGTACTAAAAAAATAACCATTCAACAATATTTGTCGATTCCGAATTAATTTATGTTACACAAAATCAACGGATTACTCATTTCATATTCTCCGAACCCTTAAAAGTCGTAATTTGAACTGGAAAATAATAAATTTCAAAAAATACTAAATAATTTGTTTCGGTCGATTGGTTATTTGCATATTAATATTTTGTATAGGTACATTGGTCATAACCATTTTATTTATTTCTTGCTAAAATATGATTTTATAAAATTAAAAACTGAAGTAGACAGATAATTCGATAG